GTTTGCCCCCATAACGGTGTTTTAATTGTAACGATAACGATATTCATGTATATATTTTTTTTTTTATTGAATCTTATTATTATGACGATTACAGGTGTGTTGTATGATGTAATGTGCAACTGGTTGGTTGATAGCAGTTTGTGTATGTGTTACTTATCTAAGCAGCAGTCACTGGATTGTATGTGTCCAAGACAATTTTCCTTTGGGACAATAAAAGTCTATCTAATCTAATACACGCACTGAACCCTTTTTATATTTAACATGAATATATTCTTCTTTTATATTTAATATAAGCACATGCTTTATGAATGCAATTTAAATTAATTGTTTGCTTCGTTGTAGATCGAAACGGTGTCCATTATTTTGTCAGTGAAGTTGTTGTAATCTATATAATCAGTGGTGTTATTATTCTAGATTTTGTCATGTAATCTGTCCTTTACTGTTTTTGATCACCACAGGCGTGTTTTGCATCTCTTGTCAGTCAAGACTATGTGAATGGAACAGACCAGGAAGAAATTAGGACTGGTAATTTCTCAGCTGTGTCCTCATGCTGTGATATCAGATAGTAATAGCAGGGAATGTTGATAAATACTTCATAATTAACATATTCATATATACCATATACTCTAAACTGCTTCAAAAAATATCATGATATTACAGTAATTCATTTTGTTGAGTTATTGGAATCAAAGGTTTTTTGCAGATGTTTTACCACTCCATAAATCTGAAAATACTGTTAAAAGCCAGAAGAAAAAAAAAAATCACGTTTTAGTAGTAGAATGTTATATAAATGAGGCAAATAATATACAAACAAATTTCTCTGTAAAAACCTTAAGAATATAGACAGGAATAAACCAGGAAAGCTTGGTATATGTAAATGCTACTGAAGTGGAGGTTTCTAGCGTAGTACATGAGGCAAAACTCGTTTCAGATAAAGTTTCTTTTAAAGTGTTGTAAATGAAATCTACAGACACAAATAGATAGTGTAATTTGGATGTTTTTTTCCACCAGTCTGAAAGACATATTATAAAAGTAAAATAGCCCAAAATCTCGAAATTGACCATTGCATGTAAAACAGTGGCTTTACTTGTAATGTCTCACCTTCATTTTGCATGTTGTGTATTTCAGGGGTTGATCAGTGTATACAGAAGTTTCTGGATGTAGCCAGACAGACTGAATGTTTCTTCCTTCAGAAAAGACTGCAGCTGTCTGTACAGAAACCAGAACAAGTAGAAAAAGAGGTAAACAGATGTTTTTGTTTTTAAATTCTCTGTAAAATTGTTTAAAATCCATCCATACATTATTTAAATCAAAACCACCTTCATGAACATTTTAGAACTCTTACAGTTCCATTATAATATTTGAAACATACAGTATACTGTAGTCTAAACTGTATGTGCTGTTCGGTGTTTCAGGATGCATCAGAACTGAAGAATGAACTCCAGAGGAAAGAAATGCTGATTCAGAAACATCTTACCAAGATCCATCATTGGCAGCAGGTGTTGGAAGACATCAACGTCCAGCATAAGCCCACAGAACTGCCGCAGGGTCCACTGGCCTTCCTGGAACAGGCCTCAGCCAACATTCCCGCACCCATGAAACCAAACTGAAGCATGGAGAGATCCAGAACCCTATCCAGACTGTGTTCCTGGGCCACTCTCTTTCTCTGCGCAGAGCAAATCGTACAATAAGCCTTTGTTGTGGACTCTTGTTAGTGATGTTTTTGTCATGTTATGTACATCCATGATGTGCTAAAGGACGTTACTGCCACTTATCTCATGAGGAGTTTGTAGGTCTGCCAGAAGGAGGTCATTCTGAAGAACTCGAGGGTCTTTGACATTTAGTCATCAGAATACTTGAAACTGAATTTGTTAGAAAATTGATGGCAAGTTAATCACATTTTTAATATAATAAGCACAGATGTTCTTAGAGCTAAAATGACCAGAAAGGACTTTAGTTAGAGAGAATTAAGTGGGATAATTTTTTGTTCATATTTTATTGAAAGATCTTTTGTAAAGTTTAAAATAAACATGTTTTGTCATTACTGAAAATTGTGCGCTCTCTTACATTACATTTTCTTTATCTACTCAGTGCTTTATTTTTTCCCTTTATAACAGGCTGTATCAATATAAGCAACATTTTTCAGTTTTTCTCCAACTACTCACAAATCCTTTGCATTTGGATTTGAACATTTATTTCCCTTTTAGTAAAAAAAAAAAAAAAAAATGAAGGTCTCTAACACAGTTTGGCAGCAATAAAACAACCCATTAGCAATCCAAAAATGTAATGAATTTCACTACAAAATGAAAAGAAATTACATAACACACTTAGATATAATATGCAAGAAAAAGCCTACTTTTAAAACCATGAACATTTTTGTATGGTGACATTCATGACATTCCATCAGTATAACATTTGTGCAGATGCATCAATATATAAAAAAAACAATAACCATTACATGTGCAAATATATAGTGAAATGAGGTCCATTATAGTGTAAACATGACATTTAAAAAAAGTTTGTTATTGTGAATTCAACAATAATATAGTGAACTGTGTTCCTAGTTAAAAAAACAAAGACAAAAAAACATTTAACAATGTGCTGATATTGCTGTAACATTTCAAGTATCTTATATATGTTAGAACCATATCCCTCCCTGATATAAACAATTGTTTCTCTTCAATAGGTTTTTGTAGCTGCATAACCTGATGAGAGAAATCTCTCTGCAAATTATTTAAAACGTTAAAATGTTAAAACACAACCAAACACTCAAGTTTTTTCTTTGCATTTTTGCTCTTGTCTAAAAAAGGTTTAAACCTTTGAGAATGCAGTCAATAATGCCCCAGATAAAACAAGACAGAAAGCAACCACGAGGACAATGTAATTTCGCCAACCCTGAGGGAGAGAGAGGAGGAGATGAAAAGTTCAATACAAAAAGATAAAAGCAATAGACTGCGGGAACAGAACTCATACACCATACACACAAGTATTTACCTTCACTTCTTTGAACACGACAACACCCCAAAGCGCTGCAATCAATCCAGGAACCTGGAATGAACCAAACACACATTATCTGAAAAAAATCTTACCTGAAAAATAGAAAAAGATGTGCATTCTTTTGAGATCTGTAACTCACTGTTGTGATAATAGGGAAGCTCACTACAGCACTGAGGTAGTGGTTGGCCAGGAACCAGCAGCACGTGGCTATACCCCACATGATGCCAGAAAGGAATCCTACAAGGAAAAAAACATTATTCTACACAACATGACATCAAGTATGCAGAGGTATGCGGAAGAAAAATTATAATTCTAAAGGAAATGCAAATTACAGGAACGGTTCAGCCAAAATCCCCTGCAGTGAATGGGTGCCATCAGAACGAGAGTCTAAATAGCTGATAAAAACATCACAATAATCCACGACTCCAGTCCATCAATTAACATGGTTTAGTAAAATGCTGCGTGTTTGTAAGAAACAAATCCATCAAGACATTTTGAATTTTTTATCCATTGCTTTCAGCTAAAATATAAATCCTCTTTTTTTAATATATTCTATATGTGAAAAATTCATCTAGTCTAAATCAGGAGAATCATGCATAGATGAAGCGCCGTTTACAGAAGAGTCCAAAACAGTTCTAAATGTTGATAGATTTTGATGTGAGCGAACAAACAAATTTGTGAGAGATGTGATGTGAGAGAACATCTTCTTTACTTTACTGTTGTTATGAATAATGAATTGAGGAACTCTTATGATGAAATATGTTGGGCAAAAGCAATGGTTTAAATTTAAAAAGTCTTAATGAGGGATTTGTTTCTTACAAATGCATAACAATTCACTTCACAAGGATGGACTGGAGTCATTTGGTTTACTTATGAATTATTGTGATGTTTTTATCAGCTGTGTGGACTCTCATTCTGACGGCACCCATTCACTGCAGAGGATCCATTGGTGAGCAAGTAATGTAATGCTAAATTTCTCCAAATCTTTTCAAATGAAGAAACAAACTCATCTGCTTTACATCTTAGATGGCCTGAGGGTATGTAAATTCCCTTTTAGTAAAAAAAAAAAAAAAAAATGAAGGTCTCTAACACAGTTTGGCAGCAATAAAACAACCCATTAGCAATCCAAAAATGTAATGAATTTCACTACAAAATGAAAAGAAATTACATAACACACTTAGATATAATATGCAAGAAAAAGCCTACTTTTAAAACCATGAACATTTTTGTATGGTGACATTCATGACATTCCATCAGTATAACATTGCGGAAAAAGAATAAAAAATTTTTTTTTTAATAATTATTGCATTGCAGTATTTAAATGTAATGTACAATAAAATAAAATACTCTTACAGTACTGATGATCATTATTGTGATGTTTTTATCAGCTGTGTGGACTCTCATTCTGACGGCACCCATTCACTGCAGAGGATCCATTGGTGAGCAAGTAATGTAATGCTAAATTTCTCCAGATCTTTTCAAATGAAGAAACAAACTCATCTGCTTTACATCTTAGATGGCCTGAGGGTATGTACATTTTGGGCGAACTATTCCTTTAAATTGAAGTGATTGTGTTACCTGGCAGTACTGCTTTAGGAAAAACTTGAGGTCTGTTTTTTTTGATGGCACAGTACAGGATGAAATACATTGTACTAGTGAGGAAAATCCCACTGTATTGTGCAAAGACATAATCAAGATCTACAAAGAAACACGGTATATATAAACAAAATGCATAATGGCTCATATTTAAGAATTCAACTAATGCTTATAACAAGGTAATCTAGATTTACCAAACTGGCTAGCCCCACTGTATTGGCTGTCTGGATCTGATGCATGATTTTTTATGTACAGAACTGGAACAAATGATGATCCGTACAGCAGTCCAGCGACAACAGCAAGAAACGTTCCACTGCAATACAAAGCTCTTATTATAAACATATTTATAAATGCATTGTTCTGTTGCAGATACTCATATATTTAAATGATATTTTATTGTGGTCTGAGGCTGATACTCTATACAATTAGTACAGAAACATTTACTCATAAAAAAAAAAGTTTATTTTTGATGCTTATGATGTAAAACAAATGCCATTATTAATCTATGTACACTTATTATGTATGGGAGGTGTTAGGAAAGTGTGTAACGGGTCATGTAAGTGTGATGTGTACATACACTAGCCGTTTGGTGCGTGGTGTTAATGCATCCACCCAGGAATCATCTGTTGCTACCACAGATTCGGAGTTCACAGTCTACGCATGAAATTGATGAAATTAGTTAATTGAATTATTCAAACATGAAATATTTAAAAAAGCTGTACGGAGTGTCATGGTGATGAAAAAAAGGATGGGAGGAAAAAATATATTTAAATGCTTTTCTGTTCCTCTGAGAAACGTTCCGTTATCTCTTTTTGAATTTTGAAAAAAAAAAAAAAAAAATGAATGATTTTTCCTCTCAACTCATTTTTTTCCATCACCATGTCCCTTAAGGGATCCATAAAAAAATGTGACTTTATTAGCACAATTTTTTAAATATGTCAACATACATGGTCTATTAGTAATGGTGTTTCTTCAGATGTTGCAGATCTTTGAACATCAGTCTTCACAAAGAAAAAAACAATAGCACTGTAAACACAAAAAAAATAAAGAAATGAAAAGGGTGAAGAAAAAGAGAACAGTCATTATTTCAAATAATGCCACTTAAAGGTAACATCACATTATGAAATTTCTGACTTACAAAAAAAGAATATGAATGCATGTACATTTACCTAAGTAAACAAAGACCTGCTCCACAGGAGTTCAGTACTGGTTTGGAAACAGTCTCGGCACCAATACCAAACCAGCCAAACCTAAAATCAACAGCAAAAATCAGTGTGTCTCTCTGTGTGTGTGTGTGTGTGTGTGTGTGTGTGTTTGTCACTAACAAATAGATTCTGAAATCAGATTTTGCTTACCTTGAGCTGGCCCAACCCAAAAGCAGATTAAACGAAGCCCATATAAGAAGTCCAACACCAAGCCCAATAGTCTTTACAATAGGAACTACAGTTATATTACCTAGAAGGAACACACCAACATAAGACAGATTTTCACACTGTATATCATCACGATCTGCATATTAAATAATTAAATGTTACCAGTAGCCCAGATGGCTCCTCCCAGCATAACAAGAGGCCAAAACTTTGGACTATGCAGAATGATGTTCACCACTAGGGAGACTGTCCATATAGCAGCACATAGAATCCACTGGAAAAACATACCTGCACATGAACACAGTAGGGTAAACTGAAAATGAATGAAATATTACTGAACAAACTTCCTCACTTTAGTGTGTTTTCAAAGCAGGATATAATTTATTGTACATTGATTTATTCTATGTCCTCTGCAAACGGTTATCAAGACCCAAGTAATCATTTTTAGTAATAGTTGGGTCAAAAAAGGGAACATATGCTAACATTTGTGTAATATTCTGTGTTTGTTGGGGACTCGCCAACAGGTAACATTAATAGTTAAAAAATATAGGCTATATTTCTATTAAATTGGAAGCATTTCTTATGTTTTATTCTAACTGCTATTTAGTTTTTTGCATATTTTGTCATAAGCTAATTTGCTACTTGGCAATATAATTTGTTACATTTATATAGCGCTTTTCTGGGTACTCAAAGCGCTTTACATGAAAGAGGGGGAATCTCCTCATCCACCACCAGTGTGCAGCATCCACCTGGATGATGCGAAGGCAGCCATAGTGCGCCAGAAGGCCCACCACACACTAGCTTATTAGTGGAGAGGAGACAGAGTGATGAAGCCAATCAGTGTATGGGGATGATTAGGAGGCCATGATGGTCAGAGGCCAATGGGCAAATTTGGCCAGGATGCCGGGGTTATACCCCTACTCTTTTTCAAAGGACATCCTTTTTGGATTTTTAATGACCACACAGAGTCAGGACCTCGGTTTAACGTCTCATCCGAAGGACAGTGCTTTTTACAGTATAGTGTCCCCGTCACTATACTGGTGCGTTAGGACCCACACAAACTGCAGGGTGAGCACCCCCTGCTGGCCTCACTAACACCTCTTCCAGCAGCAACCTAGTTTTCTCAGGAGGTCTCCCATCCAGGTACTGACCAGGCTCAACCCTGCTTAGCTTCAGTGGGCATATATATATACATATTGTATTAATATAGCTAATACAATTACTACATCTGGATGAAAAAAGACAGACAAATCAGTCATCATTTACTCCACTTTTCAAACCTGTATGACTTTCTGTGGAACACAAAAAGAGAATGACAGCCTGAATCACTTTCATTGCATCACTTTTCCATACAGTAAAAGCAAATGGTGACTGACTGAGACTTCTGCGGCTGCTCTCCTTTTGTGTTCCACAGATGAAATAGTCATAAAAATTTGACACTGACGGTGAGTAAATCAAAACAGACCACTGCAATTACTTACTTTTAACTAATACTATTACTTTTTAAAACTATTACTTTAAAGGCATTTTTGTTGACATTTGGTACCATAAACATTTACTGTGGCATAAAGAAAAGCCAGTTGAGAAACACTGAGCAAACACACTTTCACAGCGAGGCAAAAGCATAAAAAAAGTTTAAATAATGTAAGAAAAAATTGACTAACCATCACCAGTCTCTATCTTTTTCACTGGTACAAAGTTGCTCCCGAAGAAGACTACTGATACGGCGCAGGATATGAATCCATAAGTCAGATCAGAAGAGTTGGTACTGTTGGATTCTTGCTGAAGCTCCACGGATGCGCTTGGACCGTCTGATAGCCACTCCACTGAATCATAGTTACATTACGTTGTGTTTTACTCATCAAAGTCAGCAAAGTTTTGATTAAGCTATGCAATGCAGTTAATTCATTGTTTATTCGTTACCTGTGTCCAGGCGTTGCGCGGCGCCGGTGGAAAGCGCGCAGAGGAGCGCAATGATGAGCGCGACCACGAGAGAATTCATCTTATAACGTTAGATACACACGCAACAGCATTCAAGCAATCAATAGATATTCATAAAAGCTACTTTCAGGCGGAGATCGCTGGAATAAAATATTCCGAGCGATAGCTGCTCAATTAAAAAGTGTGACTTTACTTCCTTGTCAGCTGACAGGCATGATCACATGATTGCACGCGTGTGATGAACCACGTGCATTCGAATAATGATGATTCCCAGGGGGCGGAGCCAGACATTGTAAACACTCATTTGTCCCGCGACATTTTTCCCATTTGGCAGCTACGAACTTTTAAAATCTAAATATTCTCTCTTTATCATGTAAACACACTTATAAATTGCCTTACACATTTAGGCTATATAAAAAAATATTTATGCTTTTACAGGTGCAAAAAATTTAAATCACAAACAAGTTACGAAATAAGTGTGGGTATATTTTAGCCAAAATTACAGTGATAAGAGATGAATAAGGCAAGCAACTGAAAGCAATACTTAAGTTTTTGATGACCTGTGAGTGAGATACACGCAAATGTGGATAAGTACAAACAACATAGCCTACTTAAGGATTTTAAACATTACTGATACATTTGCATAAAAGCAATAAAAAGGCAACCATGATGATGCCTTCCATGGTAAACTCTCTTTTACCACAGTAGTCTAAAACTAGCACATTCAGTTATTCCTGGACTTATGCTTTGACCTGTTTGGTGTCCAACAAGAGAAAGGCCTGCTACAAGTGTAGCCATTAAGCTGCTAACTTTCCTAACAAAAATTGAATCAAAGAGTGCAAACTGTGTAGTTGATGCTTTTTCTCTATATGTTAATCTCAGTTGTCTTAGACATTCTTCTTTTTATTACCAGATCAAGACGATTTCAAAAACGTAATTTAAAAGTTTAAAACATTTTACAGGTGTATGAATGTGCTCAGTGCCATAACTGCAGCAGTAGCCATTCTACTGCGCATT